AACACACACACACACACACACACACACACACACACACACACACACACAAAACCGCGGGGGAAGAAGACATAACAACTACAATTCCTTGAAGTTGATACGACAAGAAAACAGAAAGGACGTTGTTGGGTGGGAGGGAGGAGAGGGAGGAGGGAGGGAGGTTTCGGTAATGGGCCACAATAATCAACCTCATTGTATATTGACAAAATAAAATTAAAAAAAAAAAAAGCCAGCCCAGAAGGGGTGGGGGACAGACATCTTCCTGCGCTATGGATGGGATATAAGTCAGTATAGTGCTCCCCAAAGGACAGTTCCTGGAAAACATCAAAAGCCTTACAACTGGGACTTCCCTGACAGTTGTCAACAACTGGACAAGGCCACAGATCCAGGAGCAAAATAATTGCCAGGCCTTGCCAATGGCAGGACCACGTGGACAGTATAAATGCTCTGGACGAGCCACAGGCCCGACAGGAGCAGCTCAGTTTACTTTTTTGGGGGGGTCCGGGGGAGTTGGCTGGTAAGGGGATTGAACCCTGGACCTTGGTTCTGTCAGCATCATGCTCTAACCATCCGAGCTAACAGGCCAGCCCGTGGAGCAGCTGGGTTTCACAGGCATGGCACAGTCACACACTGGAGGCTTGAGGCTTTACAGAGGATGGTGTCCACGGGGATGGGCGTCCAGGGTGAGCCACACGGAGGAAAGCCCAGAATACAGGGTTCCATTTTCATAAAGCCAAACCAGTCTCCTGTTGGACGTGTAGCCCTTCTGGAGGACAACCACGAAACACAACCGGCTTCCCTCCAGATCTTCGCCATCTTTCCTGTCTTCCCTGAGAGTTTTACGAGTATGTGTAATTTTCGTAATCAAGAAGTGATACAGGTAATTCCATTTTAAAAAAAACCATGCACTCTCTCCTAGGAGCTGTGCGATTTTGGAGACTACTTTGTCTAACCTCCGTGCCTAAGTTTCCTCGTCTGTGAAATGGGTATGAGTGGCTCCTCCTGGGGTGGCTGTGAGAACTGGCACAGTCCCCGGCAGGTAGCACCCCCGCCCAGTTACTGGGGGATGAGAATGTTCTCTGTCCCTCAAGGCCAGAGTCAGGGATGGGACCCTCCTGGTGGCCCAAAGGTGCCGGGCGGTTGTGCTGAACCCAGCCCCTGTGCTGGTCAGCACAGCACCTCTGGGGACGGGAGTGGCAGGCTCTTGGCCAGCCGGTTTCTGCTGACGGGGCAGCCTCCTTCATGAGCTCATGCCTTTCCAGAGAAATCCCCTTAATGCCTCCATTCTGTGAGGGCGTATATAGGGAGGCTGGCCCTCCAGCTCCCCACTGCGCTGCCCAGAGGCCCCTGCCCTGACTCCTCGCCAGCTGCGGGTCCCTGCTGTGCCGACACTGAACATGGACGTCACCATCCAGCACCCCTGGTTCAAACGCGCACTGGGGCCCTTCTACCCCAGCCGGCTGTTCGACCAGTTTTTCGGCGAGGGCCTCTTTGAGTATGACCTGCTGCCCTTCCTGTCCTCCACCATCAGCCCCTACTACCGCCAGTCCCTCTTCCGCACTGTGCTGGACTCCGGCATCTCTGAGGTAAGGCCAGCCTGTGGCGCAGTTCTTGCTGGGCAGAGGGTGGGCCCTGGACAGAGGCAAGCTAGGGGTTCCTGAGCTGGCATCTGCTGCCCGGTGCTCTTGTCTTGTGCTGTGGAGCAGGCAGCGGCGGCCACAGGGCCACTTTCCTGCCCCGCCCCAGCGCACCAGCTTGCAGAGGCTAGGCTGGAGCCCAAACAGCTCTGGCTGCCTGGCCACATGGCAGAGCCTCCCGTGCCGCTGGGGAGGGGTTGGAAGAGGTAGCCAACCTGAGCCCAACCGTTGTCTTTTCCTCCATCAGCTCATGACCCATATGTGGTTTGTAATGCACCAACCACATGCTGGAAACCCCAAGAGCAACCCTGTCAAGGCAAGTTTGATGGCAAATGCAAGCTTTCTGCGTTCGGCTGTCCTCCACACTTTTCCTTCTGTGTTGAGGAAGCCTGGGTGTGGGCGGGGTGCACTGCCCTGAGATCCAGACAGGAGAGGCTTCCTGTCCCAGTCTGCAACAGAGCTCAAGCCCTCCTGCAGCCAGCAAAGCTCCTAGCAGGTGGACCCAGGTACCCCATCCAAGGCCAAAGGGCAGGCAATGGGACCCAGCCACCTTCTCTGCCTGAGCCATGGTGTCTATGCCAGGGCTCATAGTTCTGGGATGCTGAGTCTCACCTCCTGCCGACAAAGCAGAAGGCTCCCCAGGCTGATCCAATAGCAGTCAACTTCCGGGAGCAGAATGCCTAAATGAATGCTCTGAGCCAGTGAAGTGTGGGGAGAGTGAGAGAGCAGGGAGAGGCTGTGGGCAGCATGGTGCTGGCAGGAAAGGCAGTCTCTTGAGGCTGCTTATGAGACCAGCTGAGGCTGGGCAGTGACCTTACTCTACATATTTAGTTCAACCAGCCAGCCAACCCATAACCAGCCAGACCACCAGCCCCTAATGAGCTACCCAACCCCTAACCAGTGAGACCACCAGACCCTAACGAGCCACCCAACCCATAAGCAGCCAGACAGCTAATCCCTAACGAGCCACCCAACTTATAATCAGCCAGACAACTAATCCCTAACAAGCCAATCAAGCCATAACCAGCCCCCAGCCATAAACAGCCAGCCACCCAACCCATAACAAGCCAACCAATCTATAACCAGCCACCTGACCATAAGCAAACAACCAGTAAACTTGGAACCATCCACCTGATCATAACAACCAGTCACTCATAACCAACCTATAACAGCCAGTCAACTCATAACCAACTAGCCACCCAACCCATAACCAACCAGCCAGGCAACCCACAACTAGTCTGTCAACTCACAACCAGCCAGCCAACCCATTATCAACCAGGCAGTCAACCACCTGACCCCCAAGGTTCTGGAGACCAGTAAAGGGTAGTGCCTATCTACACAGTGACACAGTCCTGGGTCCTGGAACTCTCTACTCCACTTGGCGTGTGGAAGGAGAGGCCAGCTCAAGGCATGGCCTGAGGATCTGTCCTGATAACCGGGGAGCCAGAGCCTGACCACTCCCCACCACTGGCCTTGTCAGCCCTGGCGGGGACCACAGCAGGCTCCCTCCCTGAGCCAGTGACCCTCTGGGTAGCTCCACATGAGGCATTTGGGTTTCAGGTTCGATCCGACCGGGACAAGTTTGTCATCTTCCTCGACGTGAAGCACTTCTCTCCGGAAGACCTCACCGTGAAGGTGCAGGAGGACTTTGTGGAGATCCACGGCAAACACAACGAGAGGCAGGTGAGCTCAGAGACGGGTGCTGGCGTCCCTGCCCTGCCTGCACGGGGTCCTTTAACCCGGTGAGAGGGAAATGGTGCAGGAAAGCTCTCAGGGTCCCCAAATCAGCTCAGCTTCTCCACGTCAGCCTAGCATGGCCAGCCTCTCCCAGTGGCCGTGGAGGTCACTGCCATCCCTGAGCCCTTCCGGCAGGGCCAGGCAGCAGGGAGGACATGGCTCAGGGATCCGGCTTAGGGTCCCCGACTCTAGCACTACTCCCAACTGTCACCAGCTCCATCCAAATAGTCCAGATGACAGGGTGGGATTAGAAAGGACCCCAGTAAATGAGAGTGCCCAAGATGGTGACCTCTGAGCCGAAGTATGTTTTCAAGTAAAACCTGACATCAGGCGGTGAGCCGAGCTGGCAGCATGGCTGGCTTTCACTGATGCTCCCAACGTGTGTGACACATCCGCCTCTCAACAGCCCTTTGCAGCTGTGCTCTTGTCATCTGGTTAACGGGAAGCAGGGCTGCGGCTCAGGGGGTCCCCGGCCACTGCCAGCGATGTGAGGAGCCCTAGGGCTGTTGCTGGCGCAGGGCAGTGGCTCAGGGCAGAGCGGCTGGAGCAGGCGGGGTCGCTGGCGTGCACATGCCACGTGGGTCGGCCAGGGGCTGAGCATGCCCATCAACCAGTCTAGGGTGCCCTGGCTCCTGGCTCCTGGCTTCAGGGTGTCGTCGTTTCTCCCCATTGGCTGCCCCTCTCACCTGAGTCAGGGATGTCCCTCGAACTGCTCCAGTGTGTAGGCCCCGGAGCTTTGTCCTGGGAGCTGTGGGCTCCTGACCTGCCACCACTGCGGGGGTGGCCGGGGAGCAGGTCCGTGAGGCGGGGGTGTCCAGGGGAAGGGGAGCTTCTCCTGCGCAGCTTCCCGACCCATTAGATGACAAGGCAGAGACCCGGGGCCGAGCAGCTGCGCGGGTCACGGGTGAGGGCAGCCCCGCCTGCAGGGCCGGCCGGTGTGTGGCCTTGGCAGTGACCCATCGGCTGTGCTCGCAGAGGCCGGGGCCGGGCTGAGGCTGGGGCCCATCTCAGGGGGGCGCTTGCACGGGGCGCCCGGCTGTCCCGCTCTGCCCCTGAGAGCGCCGCAGGCTCGCCCGGGCCCCGGAGCCTCTGACGTGCCCTCCCCGTCCCCTGGCAGGACGACCACGGCTACATCTCCCGTGAGTTCCCCCGCCGCTACCGCCTGCCTTCCAACGTGGACCAGTCGGCGCTGTCCTGCTCCCTGTCCGCGGACGGCATGCTGACCTTCTCCGGCCCCAAGGTCCAGTCCGGCCTGGATGCCGGCCACAGCGAGCGAGCCATCCCCGTGTCGCGGGAGGAGAAGCCCAGCTCTGCGCCCTCGTCCTAAGCAGGCCCGGCCTCGGCTGCCACCCCCTGCCGCCCCCAGCCGTCACCGGGGCCCACGGAGAAGGCGTGCTGTTCGTCCCCTTCGCTTCCCTCCCTTCGTTTCCTTCGCATCTTCCCCCGCGGAATGAGGCTTTGAGAGAGTGGCCGGGAGAGCTCGGGGCCTCGGCCTGCGGCGCCGCGACCTCGGATCAGCTTCGTCCTCCCGGGATGTGGGCGGTCTGAGCTCTGCAGAGAGGCCAGAAGGAGGTGACCGCCCCGAGAACGCCCCTCGCCCAGCGCTCGGCTGCGTGCACCTGACACCAAGGGCGGCCTGCGCTCCCGCGCTCTCGGCAGCCGCCTCTCTCAGACCCTCTTCCCCCAACCTTCCTCTACATAGTACCACTCTTGGGGACATCTGGTCACCCTTGAGAATGCAGCCTGTGGCAGTCAATAAAGAGCAGGTGACACAGCAGCCTACTGCTTGGTGCATCTCCTTTAGGGGAGTGGGGGCAGGGCCAGCACGGGGGGTGGGTGGGG